GCATACTGTGTATCAAAATATACTACCCTATTTTTCGGAGTATAAGAGGGTGAAAACTTGGGTGCGTCTAAATGTAGCCCCGCCCATCCACCCCCACCCTTTGGCCTTTGCCTCCCAGCAATTTGACTTCTTGCAGCAAACTGCGCACAGTCTGATTAGCACAAGCAACTGATTATCCTCCCGACCATCAGCTGACTCAGGCTGCAGGCAGGTAGCAATATGCTATGGCAATCCCTGCAACCTGAAATTATTAGCTGCTTGTGCTAATCAGGCTGTACTAAAACTGAAACTGAAGCGGGCTGTTTGATGCAAGGAGGCAAACTGCTTGGAGGCAGAGGCAGAGGCAGATTTTAATTTTCTTGTGTTAATCAGGCTGTGCTGAAACTGAAACTGGCTGTTTGCTGTTTGCTGCAGGGAGGTAAATCAATAACTATAAATGCCTATGGAATGTTCAAATTATTAGACTTATTTTTTAAAGACTGCTTTATTATTGTTCTAGACAACTTAAGAAAATGAAGAAGCTTTTTAAAATAAATGCTTGATCTGAAGAGGCCCAGTGCTATTGTATCTTCTTTTCAATAGCAGAGAGTAACGTATACTTCCAGAAAGCCACATCAATTTTAACAGCATCTGTACAGGTATAGTCTGAAATGTAACAGTGTCCTGTTGTAGTATTAAGATAAGGCAGCTGAGTTAGACCCTGACTTAGTCATATTTGGAGTAGATCTATTTAAATAATTGGAAGGAGTTAATGTGACTACATTTAAGAAAATGTTCTGGCATTAATTTACTGCCATAATGTACATTTCTCCAATTCTTTGCTATTTCTATGGGTCAGGCACACATGCACAGAAATACACCACAAACAGTGTATATCATCTTACTGTTTGCTGTTGCCGCAAGGAGGCAAATTGCTGGGAGGCAGAGGCAGATTTGTTTTTCTTGTTTTCCTCCCCCAAAGCTAGGTGTGTCTTATACTTCGGAGCGTCTTATACTCTGAAAAATACGGTATATTATTATGGTTTATTGCACAGTCAGCCAGATGTTCAGACTGTACTAATATTATTTGTTAAATTTATTTGCCACCTATCTCACTGTAGGGCTACTCTACATGATGCTTCACCATGATAAATACAGTTTTGGGGTTCCTGCCTGAATGAATTTTTCTTTTGTGCTGAAAATGTTAGCTATGTTAAAGTCATTTTTGTTTTGAGCCTCTTTTAAGCCTCCTTTAATATTTTTCTGTATTTGAGTTTAGAAAAACTTAACAGGATGAGCCTATTTTTTCTATTACAGTGGCTTGTCTGTGCAAGTGCATACATTACTCATTTGTAGAAATACAAATGACCACAATAGAAATACTGATAATAAAATCTTTATATTCTGTATTCCAGAATTTCAAAAAGGCAAAGTTGCAGGTGTTTTATTATTCTGAAAACTAGTTTTTCACATATTTTTGAAAGATTAATTTCTTGCATTTTCAGATTGTATTGTTTAAAAAATGCTTCCTTTTAATTTTGGTTTCTTTTGGCCAAGATATATAAAAAGCTGTTTTCTATTCACAAAAAGCAGCACTGAGATACTACACTATATTTTTCAGTATCTTTTAAAAGCATCTTATATTTGAATAATTTGGCTTAGCTTCACATTTAAAGTGGCCCACTTTACCAGATTTCAAGCAAAATCTGCCATAGGTAAACATTACTAATGAAAGCAAACTTATGTGGAATTGTTTTTGATTCTTTATTTTGCTGGCTCCTTTCATTGGGATGTGTTAATTGACACCAAATTTCTTACATTAAAATAATATTACAGTTTGATAAAAAATAGAAATTTATTTCCATAGAGAAATTAATACAAAAATTGCTTTCCCCTCCCAGTAATTTTGAAAGCATTTAAAAATGTTATTTCTAAAGAACTGAATTTATTTTAACTCCTGATTTCTGTGTTATGACGGCAGTGTGGTTTTGGTATTGTTTTATTTTTAATTGCTCTTTTTATTACAAGATGGTGAACTAATTGTGACCTCTATCCACCATTCTCAATTGCTTCTGACTTACTCTGCTAAGTAAAAAGAAATAACCTAACAGAGCGGTAACCAGATCACCACTGCCACACCAAGGAAACAGGCAAGCGTTGGGATGCACTTTAATCTCTCTATCCACACAGCTCTCATTTTAATTTGCAAAATTGAACCCAGATCGAGAGCAGTAAAGCCTGAATACGGTAAATATTCATGCCTCAGTGATCTAGAGTAGCTCCATTACATTTCAGAGATTGGGAGAATTACCTTTTGGATTATGTATATTCATGGGCTGATTTTTATTTGAGATATATTATTACTCACATTGGGCTACATGTAACACATTCTACCCAAACCAGCTGCCTGACAAAGCTCCAACGTTGCTTACACATAAAAAGTTTTACTTCTGTAGCCTATACTTTCCCTTCTTTTAGGCTTTTCAAAGGTTAGTAATAAACAAAACAATTTTGTTAAAAGAGGGGAGGGAAAATCCATTCCTGTGGATGTTCTATAAATCTTTCAGCCCTATGTTTACTCTGATGTAATATTTTGTTATGCACTTTGAAGTTTTAGGATGAAAGTGCTGCTATTGTTTCAAATAGAAGACTTGAGTGAAAAAGGGTAATTTGGTTTATTTCTACGGAATAATTAATTTCTCAGCATTTTGTTTTCTTACCTGGTGTTTTCTTTGTTTATCTGAAAGACAGCTGGGAAGAAAATAGTAACTTGCCAACAATTTGGTTATTTAAATAGGTATTAATTAAATGCTTATTTTATAATACTGTATGTACAATTGCTGAAGAACAGACGTGGCATCTTTTATTCTGCATGGTACTTTAGATTATTTGATCAGATTATTCCAACAAAAACTAATTTTTCATATTTAGTAGGACTGTGCAAATCTTTTGAAGGGCCTTTGCAGCAAAGCCACAAGCAATACGCTATTGATCAGGGTGTATGACAATCACATCTTCCCCAAAAATATAGCCATGGAAGTAGTTGAAGAAAAATATATGGTGACCATCTTGGAAACTTGTGTGATGCATCTGAGAAGGCCATTTTGAATCACCAGAGGATCCAGTCAAGAAATGGCACTTTGCTTCTGGTGTTGCTACTATCAAAATATGTCTGAAAGATTTGCTCTGGCTTAATAGTTATGTATTACATTGTATATAGAGAGACTTGAACTAGTTTACAATTCTTTACCATTTATTCATGGCTCCTGCCCTTTGAAACGTCTTGTGCCCCCCCCCCCAAGTGAGAATCATGCCAACCCTCCTGACCTTCTGTAAGAGCCTAAAGATCTTGCTCTGCCAGTTAGCCTGGAGCCACAACAGGATGAGTGGGTATCACTCTGGAATTGGCTATTGAAGTAAGAGAAGACCCCATTGCTCCCCGTGTTCTTCGTGTTCCCTTCTCCCCATCTTTTAATGATAAATTATTATCATTAAATAATAATGATAATAATCATTACAATCACAATAAAGCCTGATAGTACAGTGGACTAAAGCACTGTTATCAACATCTGCTGCTTGCAATTACTGCAAGTTCAAATCTCACCAGGCTCAAGGTTGACTCAGCCTTCCATTCTTTCAAAGGTAGGTAAAATGAGGATCCAGATTGTGGGGGCAATAAGCTGACTTTGTATAAATATACAAAAGTATGAAGGCTATTGCTTAACGCATTGTAAGCCACCCTGAGTCTCCGGAGAAGGGCGGCATATAAATTAAAGAAAAAAAAAATTGTTTTGTCCCTTTTAATGTTTACTAATTTTAATGTTTGTAAGCCACGTAGAGCTGCCTCTAGATGGGATGGGTGGCACACAAATGTAACAAACAAACAAATTTATTAATTTTATTTATATCTTACCTTCCCTGGAAATAATATAGATACCTTCCTCCTAGGAGGACTATTTTCTTTATAACAAAAATCCTGTGAGGCAAATTGAGTTCAGAGTGACCAGTCCAAAGGCACCTGCTACCCTGCAAGTTCTTAGCTGAGGAAGGACTTGAACTGTATCTCTCTGGCATGTTTCCAACAATTTAACAAATATGTTATGCTGGCTTTCTTTATATTTTCTCTGCATATGAGGATATTTCTGACACCCCTTTTAAAAATGAGGGTACAGTGAAAAAAGGTAGAATGATTACCAGAGAGAATTAATAACATTTCTGTTTTAAAGTTGCAGTCTGCAAAGCTAATGTCTCTTGGTTCAAACTGAATCATGGTTATAACTGAGGGTTTCTCAACAGATAATGTTTTTCCATTTTGCTTAATTGAGAAACTGATTTTTATTTTTTAATTTTATTGTCCTGTCCTGTGAACCAGTCCAGCTAAACATAGCTCAATTTATAGTTATTTTGGAAATTTTTTACTAAAAGCGCTAAATCTAGCTGCCAAAAAATTACAAGTCTCATGTTGTTACATTTGTGATCAACAAAACAATATCCAGAATGTTAACATTAAGAAAGTACAGCTGGATCTGATGGATAGTCTTAATCCATAAACATCAGCACTGTCTGATAATAAATGGGTTAGTCTTTAAAATGTCACAAACCTCTTTTGCTTGGTTTTTTTCCCAGAAAAACTAATTCTTTTATGAAGATTCATAGTTTCTTTATGCAGATTCATGGCTCATTTATCCTGAGAAATCAACTCTTAATTTGCTTATGTTCTTTAGGAGATTATCCAGGGGTTGAAGAGGTTGCAAGTGAATAAAGAACTTCCAGTTGATTAGGTGCTCTGGGCTTGCTTCATTTTGAATAAGAGCTAGAATAATTAGTAATGATGAGGATCTGTTACAATAGAAGCACAATAGTGTAATAAAATAATAGAAGCACAATAGCAGAATAAGAGAGTGATTCAATAGACTCCATAAAAAGGTGCTGCTAAACCATGTCTTCCTGAAGTCTCTGTATGTGGTTGCTTAGTCTGTGGAATTGTTCTGAATGAATAATCTCTACAATCATTTTAAGAATTTGATTTAAAAGTATTTTATTTACAAGTCTGTTGGAATTACTTGGTGACTTTAGTTCAGTTCTTCCCCAGCTTTGTCTTCAATTATTTTACGCTGAAGGTGATCCATGGCTTCATAGAACAGGACATTTTCTATAGTTGAACCCAATGTATGGAGCGCCTTCCCTAGAAAAGTTCTGTAAAGGTTTAATGTTTTCTATGTTTAGAATGGGCACTATAACTCATACAGTTTCATGAAACTTTATAGATTTCAAAATCTTCTAGACTATAATTATAATTGCATTGTTCTATAATTGTCATCGAAGAAGTGTGATTCCTTTCTCTCTCCCACTCTCCTCCCTCTTTTCTCTCTCTTTCTCTCCATCCATCCATCCATCCATCCATCCATCCATCCATCTCCCACCTTTATTATTTTTATAAATAATTCAAGATGGCAAACATATCCAACACACCTTTCTCCTTCTATTTGCCCCCATAACAACAACCCTCTGAGGTGAATTGGGCTGAGAGTGAATGATGGACTCAAAGTCACCCACTCATACTTTTGTTGTATTTCCTGCATTAAGAGTCAAGGTCAATTTGGAAAATGTTAAAACAAAAGTATAATTTCAGCCTTTTATTCACATACAGAGCTGTGGTGGCACAGTGGTTAAATGCAGTATTGCAGGCTAACTCTGCATTCCACTGCCAGCAGTTCAATCCTGACCAGCTCAAAATTGACTCAGCCTTCCTTCCTAACTTCCTTCCTTCCTTCCTTCCTTCCTTCCTTCCTTCCTTCCTTCCTTCCTTCCTTCCTTCCTTCCTTCTTTCCATCCATCCATCCATCCATCCATCCATCCATCCATCCATTCTTCTGAGGTGGATAAAATGAGGACCCAGATTGTTGGGGGCAATTTGCTGACTCTGTAAACTGCTTAGAGAGTGTTGTAAAGCACTACAAAACACTGAATCAGTATATAAGTCTAATCATTATTGCTACAAATATAATATTATGGGATAATCCCAAATTGACAGTTGCATTTTCATTTATTCATTTATTGATGTTGTGAATAAGTAGAGATACTATATCTCTTTAAATCAGGATTGCTTAAACTATTTCAGAAAATCCAGGGGTGCCACAAGAACTCATCCATTGCAGACAAAGGGAATAAAAGAGCTTAATTTGAATATAGCCAATTTGCTATTACAATATATTTTTTTAAAACAGGGATTTCGGGATTTTTTTTAAAATTAACAGGTTGCACAGCCTGAACAAGTTTGAACATAACTGATTTAGATTAGCAATCTAGTTTTCAAAGCATCTGAATGTCCATGACAGATAGATTACCTAAAATTTTAAAATGGCTCTATATTCCGTTAAATACTTCAGATGAATTAATAGTATATTAAACTCAGTTTTACTATTAGTATCAGAATGAGTTTTGGGTAATTCCAAATCTGTAATATAGACAGTTATAGAATATTTTAAAGCATATATTAGTTATTTATAAGAACTCTGGATTAAAGATTTTCAATATCTCATATTATCAAATAAAGAATATTAAATTCTTATTCTTGCAGTATTATGTTTCTTATCTTAAACTGAGATTAATTGGACAAAATATTGTTTTTCACAATTCCTGACCTCTCCAAAGTATGCTGTTTATATTGGCAATGTAAAATGGTTTAATTTATGGTATTTGCAGGCAGCTATAAATATTATAAATAAATATAATTACATGACTTATTTATTTATACAGAATAAGTATAATTATGTATTTAACAATTCTATTTAGCTCACAACAATCTATATGATATGGTCTTGTCCAATTGTTGCCTAGTTCTGTTTATCAATCGTATTTTATAAACATAGTGTTAAAAGATTAATATGATGTGAAGGTACTTCTGAATTTTATATAAAATATTTTAAATATAGGAAGAATTATGAATACACTGATTAAGGAGTCAGCAAAAAGATTTTCTCTAAAGTATTGGAATGGCAATAATATTCCATACTTATAATTTTGGATTATTGTTGTCTATCAAATAAATGATCTGAATTTTTTCCATTTTCTAACAAAGAGATGTTAAAATATTTCTTTGGACAGAATCTATGATTGGCAGCAAACATCTTTAGACAAATCTGATGTTCTTTTTCATTTTTAGCAGTCTCTCTCTTCTCTTAAGCAGTCTCTTTTTTCTCTCTTGTCTAAAGAGAAAAGATTCCACTTAGAAAACAAAGAAAGTTAAGAGTGTATTTTTCTTTTGTTCCTGTGTGTCCACTCCATTTTATGTCTGTTGTATGTAATCTATGTCTCACTTAAACAGATGGCAGCCTTCCCATTTAAATTGGGCTAGATGTTAATAACTTAATTAAAGTAAGCAATAGATGGATGGATGGATGGATGGATGGATGGATGGATGGATGGACGGACGGAAGGACGGACTGACGGATGGATGGATGGGTGGATGGATGAATTGAAACTGTAGAATAAATGGTATAAACTTGTTTAACACTTAAACTACAGTGTTTTGTTTTGGGTTTTTTTGGTTCTTACTTTATAATTACTAGTTAGCTGAATTTGCTGTGATTCTACTTATCAGAAAGGGCTGGTTGTGTTTATATCTTGTAACAATAAGATGCAGTGACAGCACTGGAGGTAGGAGGATGCTTGGACTCTTATCTGAAAACCTAAGAGCTATAGCATATGGAGTACTGATAACTTAATGAAAGTTTGATAAATAAAGGAAAAGAAGCTTCATTGTATCAGAAAAAAAATCCATTAGTGAGGTTTTGTATGCTGTTTTCTATTAGTTAAACTGCTTTGAAAATCTTAGTGAGCTTTTCCTTTGGTCTTCAAATAACAGGTTCTTTTCTTATATTGAACACATTTGTTTATCTTAAGGGCCTGAACAGTTTGGGTGCTTTTAATTTATCTCTCCTTTTTGCATTTTTTATCTGTGTATGAACACATGGACTTCCCAGTCCTCCTCCTCCACCAAAGCAGTTTCACAAACCTCTACATCATTCTTAGAAATATTAATGTGATCATGAAGATAAAAATATTAAACATTCTTTCCTGATTTATTTTCAGGCATTACAAGATGCCCCCCCCCCGCTTCCCTACCCCTGTTCACATGAAGCCTCTCTGAGCAGTTTACTATTCTGGCACTGTTTGTTGCAAAATTTAAAGATGTTATTTCATTGATTCTGATGAACTCAGAATATGATTGGTTTTGGATAGACAGAGTAATTTTCTGCTGAAGTTGTTGCCCAAAATTGATGCCAGACATGCCATTTGACAATATATTTGAGTGACATAAAATTAGGAAGGCAGGTAGGGTGGAAGTAGTTGAAATCCAGACATTGTGATGACCGATGGTTTTGTGACATTTATAAATATGCATTTGTGTTTAGCTATGTTATTATTCATTCTTGAGAAAGGGAAATTAGCTCCTTATTCAAGATAGCTCTATTGATTTTTAGATCCTAGATGATATATAAATCATGGAGATGAGGAAGCTTAGTTTTCCAAAGGTTAAAGTTAATTCAGAAAATTTTCTGGGCTTTCTCGGGACTAGTTTTATTGCTCAGAATTAGTTTTATTGCTCAGTTCATATCATAGAATTCTTAGGATAAATCAGCCTTTAAAAACTATGTACACCATTCCACTGACTGTGGAGTGATATACAAATACTATGTGCACAGTCTCCACTATTGCAAGGGTGTCAAACTAGATTTCATTGAAGGCCGCACCAGGGTTGTGTTTGATCTTGGGGGGACAGGGGGGCATAGCCACTCAACCTCACATGTATCAGGGGCGCCTGTGGTGGGGCAAGCACTCTGCCAGTGAAAATGGGCTCCCGAGCTCCATTTTCGACTGTGACAGCCTCCTCCAACCCTCTGCCAGCAAAAACGGAGCTTCGGAGTCCATTTTTATTGGCTGAGCACTTGGACCACCACAGGTGCCCCTGATATGAATGAGGTTGAGTTGGCCACACCCACCCTGGCATGCCCTCCCAAGCTCCGTTTTTGCTGGTAGAGGCACTGCGATCCAATCCTTTGCTGTTTCCAAGGTGGCCCCAAGGGCCAGATCTAAGCACACCATGGGCCGCATCTGTCCCCCGGGCCTTCAGTTTGACACCCCTGCACTATTAGATGCCCCTGATTTTCTTTTATAAAATACACTGAATCTTTTTAAAAGTATTAATTTACTTGAAAGGAATATTGAAACATTGTAAACATCCAACGAATATATTGGCAGTTGCTCGTAGAAGAACTATTTTCTCTTTTGTGGAGACTTCTGAAAGTTTAATGCAGATAGAAGTATTTCTGTATATGCAAAATTAAATAGACAAGCTCTGGAATGATTTACTTTAGACTTGATGGGGGAATCAAGTTTTTAAATTTTATTTTTTATAAAGAGACTTTTCAGCGAAAACTAAAAACACCAGAGAAAGGCAGAACGAGAGATTTTATGCATGGTATGCTAGTTAATTGAAATTTTAAAAGTAGTATTATACCTAGTTGCCAGTAATAAATTCCTCTCTAAATTTCTGTTTGGCTTCTGTGCCATGATAATGCAATAGTATAAATTCAGCTACCGTATTTTTCAGAGTATAAGTGTTGTGTCCCTGTCTCACACATGCACACCAGCAGTCGACCAAGAGTTAAAATAAACCAGCAGACAAGAATTTCGTTTGATAACAGAATTGGCAGCAACCCAGTGGCTGCTTGCCAAAAGTTTTTACTTACAAAGGGAGGTTTATCTCCTCCGACCAAAAACATCAAAGTAAGTCCACAAAAGCCAAAGAATAGTCGAGTCCAGTCCAAAAATCAATCCAAGCAGAGCATATAACGAAGTTCCAGAAATGCAGAATGACTTGCTAGCTTTTTTTTTTTTTTAATTTGATTTATATGCTGCCCTTCTCCGGAGACTCAGGGCGGCTTTCAGTTTTGTCCGTCACAAAGCCTGAATGGCCACCACACCCCCTTTTATCCCCTGTGGGGTGTGGTCCAGTGACTCAGCTTAATCTCTGGCATGCCTCCTTCCCTGCTGCACGCGCTTGTCTTTCCGATGCTGTCGGGGATCCAGCCAAGATTTATCTCCGTCACTGTCTAACTGCAGCTCCTCGGAAGTGCCTGGCTCCTGGCCTATCTCTTCTCCTTCGGAAGACACCTGAGGCATTGCCAGAGAGGAGGGTCCTGGAGAGGGATGCCTTGCCAACTCCTCTCCTTCACTTTCGGAGTCTTCTCCCTCCGATAAGAGGGGCTCGGGGGTTGGAGTCACAACAATAAGACACACTGGAGTAGAAGATGCAGCTTAGTTTTTGGGGAGGAAAATATGTGGAAAAAAATCTGCCTACCAGGTATTCATCTGGCTAGCATCCTTAGTCTGGTCAGCTTTAACACATTAGTTTGATGGTTTTAAGCATGCACACACTTTGTATCCCCTGCCTGGGGATAAAAAACAGCTTCTAAAGCACAGCAGAGAGGGAGCAGCAATGAAAAAAGCAGGCAAAGCACGGAGATCGCTTCACTCGCTAGTGCTTCATTAGGGCTGAAAAAAAGTTGCTAAAGCACAGCTGAGATTTGGAGGGAGCAGGCAAATCTCGGAATATCGCTTCACTCGCTAGCGCCTCATTAGGGCTGAAAAAAAGCTTCAAAAAAGCTACATTTGGAGTATTATTATTATTATTATTAATAATAATAATAATAATAATAATAATTAAATTTATATACCGCCCTACTCCTGAAGGTCTCAGGGTGGTGAACAGCCAAAAGATAAAATACACATAGTACAAATGTTAAAAAACCATTTAAAAATACATTAAATACTTTGGCCCAAAACAAATTTAAAACACCCCAATTTATAAAACAAATTTAAAAGCAATTAAAAGGGAGGTTAGGCCAGACCAGCCTGCTAGAATAAGAATGTTTTGAGGGCACGGCGGAGAGTGCGCAAATCCGGGATCCTCTGTATCTCCGGGGGGAGCTTGTTCCAGATGGCAGGTGCCCCCACAGAGAAGGGTCTCCCTCTGGGGGCTGCCAGTCGACATTGTTTGACCGATGGCACCCTGAGAAGACCCTCTCTATGGGAGCGTACTGGTCGATGAGAGGCTACTGGTGGCAGAAGGGGGTCTCGTAGGTACCCCGGTCCTAAGCCATGGAGCGCTCTAAAGGTGGTAACCAAAACCTTGAAGCACACCTGGAAGACCACCGGGAGCCAGTACAGCTCGCGCAGGAGGGGAGTCACATGGGAACGCCAGGTCGCTCCTGTAACCACCTGCATGGCCGCATTCTGGACCAGCTGGAGCCTCCGGGTGCTCCTCAAGGGGAGCCCCATGTAGAGAGCATTACAGTAGTCCAGGTGGGAAGTGGCAAGGGCATGAGTGACTGTACGTAACGAGTCCTGATCAAAAAAGGGACGCAACTGGCGAATCAGGCGAACTTGATAAAAAGTCCTTCCAGCCACAGCCATCAAATGCTCTTCTAAAGACAGCCGTGAGTCCAGGAGGACACCCAAGTTGCAAGCCCTCTCCGTGGGGCCAACGACTCGCCCCCAATAGTCAGTGATGGCACCAACTGACTATATTGGGACGTCGGAAACCACAGCCACTCAGTCTTGGATGGGTTGAGTCTGAGTCTGTTTCTCCCCATCCAGATCCGTACAGCCTCCAGGCACCGGGTCATCACTTCAAGGGCATCATTGGGGTGATCCGGGGTGAAGATGTACAGCTGAGTGTCATCAGCGTACTGATGGTACTTCACCCCGAAACCACAGATGATCTCACCCAGCGGCTTCACATAAATGTTGAACAGAAGGGGCGAGAGGATCGACCCTTGTGGCACCCCACATACAAGGGGCCTCGGGGTCGACCTCTGCCCCCCTGTCAACACAGACTGCGACCAGTCAGAGAGAAAGGAGGAGAACCACCACAACACGGTACCCCCCACCCCTAAGTCTTCCAACCGATGCAGCATGATACCATGGTCGATGGTATCAAAAGCCGCTGAGAGGTCTAATAGGACCAGGACAGAGGAGCAACCCCTGTCCCCAGCCCTCCAGAGATCATCAACCAATGCAACCAATGCCGTTTCCGTGCTGTATCCAGGCCTGAAGCCCGAGTATAAGATGCACCCAAATTTTCAGTCTCTTTTGGGGGGGGGAAGTGTGTCTTATACTCGAAAAATACGGTAATAATTTCTTCTAGAAGTGTAGTCTGATGTTTGTTTTTGGACTTACACGGTTCATTTTTTATTAATTTTTAATGGCTATGATTTTCGTATCCATAGTATTTGTATATTTCACATCCTCTTATGTTTATGGCTTATAAATCATATGGAGAGATAGAATTTCAAACTTGGAATTATTATCTATACAAGATACTTCATTTTAAATATACTGATTTTTTTTGATACAGACTGTAAATTTTTTTTAGAAAAGAGATGTGTTCTATATTTTTTTTAAAAAAGTTTCATAATGTGAAAACACATTGAATCTTTTGAGTTCCTGTAAAATGCTACATTTTAAAGATTTTTCAGGGTTATAAAGATGGTGCAATATGCATGGGTAATGAATGAATGAAAAAAATATTGAGTTGTGGTCACTGTGCTAGTGGAAAAAGTAACTAGCATTAGCTGAAGAGGGAAGGACATGATATTAAGTGTTCCCTCTCTCTCTCTTTCTCTCTCTCCCCTCCCCACTCCCTCCCTCCCTCCGTCCGTCTCCCCTCTTCCTCTTTCCCTCTACAGACTCTGTATCCCTAGACATTCTCCAAAGGTATTAAAGGCTACTTCAGAGAATAGTTAGCACAGAGGGAGGGGAAATTGATCACAGATGAATTATAACTCTTAAGGTTAGAGTAGTCAGTTTTCAGGATTATAAGCTTTTTATACTGCTGCCCAACAAATGGAGTACAAAATAGGAATTCAGGAGGATAAACAAGTACTAAGAATTAAGGAAACTTTGTTTCTGGCAACATGCTCAATTGAGGGAAGTGTGATTGGTACCAGAACTAAGATTATAAGTCTTTTCGCATACATTCCATTTACAATTTTGTCGCAATTAATCCCATTACCCCTTCAGAATCCTTTCCTGCAACATAATTTAGTCAAGTAAATCTCCTTAGTTCTTGCTATTGCTGGATAATTGGATGTCAGAAATTTTGCAGTTTATTGCACATCATCTAGGGACCTACCAGTAGATAGAAATTTCTCTTTTGCCCATCCCTGGCTTAAAGAATAAATGTAGAACAAAAGAAAAAAAGAAAAGAGAATCAAACCATATTAAACCAACTGGTTTGTCTTAATCAAGCTGAACCAACTTTGATAGTTTTAAAAAGCTTATTTTCCTGCTACTGTTTCTATTCTAAGATGTTTCTGAAATAGAATAACTAAGAAGATTCCAAGTGTATTAGCACCAAACTTTATTTTTGTGTGCGGTGTTACACTGTCTCATATATTATGGAAAGATTAGAGTCATAACCAGATAATAACAATAATCATATACAATAGAATATAGTTCATAATCATAAAATAGTCCTGAAATCACTAAATCATATTTATGTTTATTCTTTACAAGTCAATGAAAATGAGATTATAAAGTATTTTTTACACATTATGCAATATATTTCATTATTATTTGACAGATTTAGGGAAAAGACCAAATGTGATAAAAAGGATTGGAAATTATATAAAATAAATGAAAAGATTATTCTTTAGAAATCATTAATTTTTTAAAAAAAAATTAATGTCTTACATTACTGTATGAATTAAAAAAAACATGTATATTCATTGTCTTAATACACTGAGATATACTATCACAGAACAATCAGAAAGGGAAAATACTTACCATTGGAGATAACACAGCCTGCTTAAGAAGCAGCAGCAAATATGTAGGGGAAATGAACAGAAAAGATAGTGTTTTAAACTATTTAACTCATTTGCCTTTTTTAAAAAAAATAAATGGGCTAATTATTTATGCTGGTTCAAACTCATCTGCATAATTTTGGCTACTATGGAAGTTACTAAATTCAAAAGAATAAGGATTGATACTATTTTCTTGAATTAAAAAATTAAGCATTCTTTTAGGTAATTTAAGATATAATTTCTGGATAATTAATGAGAATGTTATAAAACAGCAAAAATAATATCTTACTATTGTAAAAGTATATGCATAGAGTACAAATATTTTAAATTACTATTTTAAAATACAAGAAAAATGCTAACAGGTTATTTTTGTTATACTTTTTCCCATAAATAGGTGACAAAGAAAGTAAAGTCAATGCAGATGTTTCATACACCAGTAACTTATGCCATGCAAGGGGATAGGGTTGGAATTTGTGTAACCCAGTTTGATCCAAAGCTGTTGGAACGAGGCCTCATTTGTACACCTGAATCTCTCCAGACGATCCATGCTGCCATTATCTCTATAAAGAAAATCCCATATTTTCGAGGGACTCTTCAAACCAAGGCGAAGTTTCATATTACAGTTGGCCATGAGACTGTTATGGGAAGAGTGATGTTCTTCAGCCCAACTCCTGATGACTTCAGTAAAGAGCCTCTGGAAAATTATTTTGATTTTGAAAAGGAATACCTTTATGAGGAGGAATACCTTTCCAATGATTCAAAGTCCTCCGAAGAAAACAAGGAAAATGGCCAAGTTGAAGAAAGACAGGTCCCAAAACAACAGTGGGCCTTACTTGAATTTGAAAAACCAGTTACCTGTCCTAAATTTTGTCTTGTAATTGGCTCAAAATTGGACACTGATATTCATGCAAATACTTGCAGACTGGCATTTCATGGGATACTTCTCTATGGAATGGAAGAGAAGAATTATACAGAGGAATGTCTGCCAAAACTCAAGGTTTACAAGATGAAACATAAAGAAGGACAAGTAGAACGGGTAAGCTTACATGATATAATATAAGGTTCCCTTGGATGTGCAAGGATCTTAATATGGGAAAGGGTAATTAGGAATGGATTATAAGAAAAGCGGATTCCCTTCGTTTATTGAGAAAGTGTTGGTTTGCCCCTTCTCAGGAAACCATCACTAGATCCAATTCTACTGGACAACTTTCATCCAGTTTCCAGCTGTCAGCCAATTACTCTTGGGTTCAACCCCATCTTAGGAGCTGGGACAATGGTTTTACACAGTCAGCAAAATTAGGGATAACTTTCCTATAGAAGTTAGCAAAGCCCAGAAAGTGCTGGACATCTTTCACATTATGGGGGAGGAGAAGATGCCATGATAGAATAGTCTGTAGCTTTGATGGATATACCTGTATCCTTCTGTGGAGATTCTGTAGCCCAAATAGAACAATTGAGGCAAATCAAAAGTGCATTTTTCTAGTTTGGCAAAGTTTATTGTCCTGTAATTTTTGCAATACATTTCTGACATGGGTGACATACAAGAGGGGATATTCAGAATAAACTAATATGTCATCTAAGTACATATTAGTACAGTACTATTTTTGAAAATATTAGATCTAGAAAAAAAGCAGCTCCATAGTTAACCAGACTGAAAGGTATCGCTGTGTATTCAAACTTTCCGCATCTTGTATTGAAGGTTATTAAATATTCATGTCCTTTTTTACATTCTGTTTGAGCACTCCTGAAGTCTAGTTTTATAAAGATCTGTGTTTTTTTATAGCTGATCTAAAAGATCTGAGATAAGGAGGAGTGGATGATAGCTTCTAATTTTTAACCTGTTTAGATCTTTATAATCATGAATTAGAATCATCCTTTAGAGTGGTTGGTGTTTTTCCTTGTTTTTGGCTGCCAGTGCTGGTGAGTTGGAAGGGTAATAAATCCTTTTTTGATATTGGTATGCAAATATTTCTTGAGAATGGCTAAATTGTATCTAGACATGAAATACGATTTCTTTGCTAGAATTTGGCCTCCTGGCTTCAAACTGATCATGCAATCAGATGACTGTTGTGAAGGTAACATGACTACCTCTTCTTTACCAAAGTCTGCATGGTGGACATGGCAGTACCTGGAAACAGCAGAAGAAGAGAGGAAGAACTGGAGAAAGTAACAAATACAAGGACTTGCAAATAAAAGTTGAAAACTATTGCAAAGAAAGCAAAGATTGTACTAATAGTAATAGGTGCCTGAGTTACAATCCCAAAACACGTGGAGCACCACTTGAACACCATTGGCACTGACAAAATTCACATCAATCAATTGCAAAAGGAAGCTTTACTTGGAACAGCTTTCATCCTGTGATGATACCTTTAACACTTTCAAACAACGTCTGTCTATCCCAGGTCACTGGGAAGGACTTGATAGGTAGATTAAAAACTCCAAACCTAGTCTAAACGTTTGGTTGACTGTGTGACAAACTATTTTACAGCTGAAATGAACTAAGTTAGTATTGTGAGTTAGACCCAGAGCTGAATTTCTTGGCTAAACCTCCACATATTTCAAATAGGGCTAAACTTTTACTGGAAATTCTGCAGGAGGCTTAGTTTTCTGAAAAGCTCAGAATAATAGAAAAGTAAGATTTAGCATCCTGCTATTACTTTCTTCCTTTTGCTGGAGTATTTCTTTAACATAAAAGTGATTATGGAGACATAGACGTATATCATTATTAATATTATGTTTAATTTTCTAACAAACATAATTTGTGTTTACGCAGAGTATAATATAATAGATAGATGGCTTGGAGAAAACAGCAACTTGGTCCCCATGGGGAAAAGTATGAACAAATGGCTGATGAAATCTTTGAGTGCTTTAAGAAATGTCCAGCCTCTGGTTTCATAGAAATACTAATTCAGACGGTCCCACCCTATTGCTGATAGATGTCTGGAGATTAGAACAACTGAATTTACAGTGTCTATTCTTGACATTGATGGAGAAAAACTATGTTCTCTTTGTCAAGGAAGGAAGTGGGTGGTTGACTTTCTCTCAATGCTGTAGAAAGGCACTAAATAATAATGTCTTTTATATATGCACACATATATCTCCCGCCCCCAGGAATTGGTGTTCCTATTAACATATTAAAAGAGGGGGGACAGTTTAGCTTCAAAACATCTAGGAGAGTTCAAATAAAAAAATATCAGACTTACTTTCTGTAGCTTGCCAGTTTTATAGCGTTCTGTTTCTGGGAAAAAAAATGAGGAAAACTCATTTCATGTAATTTTAATTGACCTAGTTCTTCACCCTTAATGATAAAATGTATGCAACTTCTTCATTATTTAATGGCCAATTCATCATGAAACTCAAATCAGGCAATGATGGATAAGAATTTCCTCTTGATTATTAGGTTACCACACTACTTCCATTGTTCCCTCAATATCCATGGCTTTGTTCTATTTTTCTACAAACAGAACTTGCCAAAGATTGTTATGGCACTCACCAGGCAAATTAACAGATTTTTGCTCAGTTGTTTGTTTTCAGAAAATATAATGGTTTAGGTAGCATAAGTTAGGTTATAGTAAAGAAATGGCTTCAGACACTTTTTATTCTACTACTATAACTACTGCTCTCAGCAAGATCTCCTGCTAGTCACAAAGCTATAGAACTATCAGCAGCTAAGAAACCTAGTTGTAAACATTCCATCCATACTCAGTGTCCTGGAAATCACATGAAACAATTCTTAGAACTGCTTAGAATCTCATTTCTTTCAGTAGTAGCTGGTACTGTAATGAAGTACTGTAATGAAGCCTATTAACTATACTCCTGCCCAGTGCTGTCCCATAAGGTTGTGTGTGTGTGTGTGAGAGAGAGAGAGAATGAGAGAGAGAGAGAGAGAGAGAGAGAGAAACTATATTAGCTATGACAATAATTCCTAGCTTTCTCTTACCCAAATAGGTCCTCAGCAAGTAAGGACTAACACAATTGATCTAATCTGTTTTCCACATATTACTGCATATGTATCTTCACATAAAGGAGCAAAGATTCCTTTGCATTAAACTTGATGGTTACATATATTTTACACCTTTATAAATTACTTGGTAACAGTATGCCAATAATCTGTCAGTGCTTTCTTCTAGGATGGAATATGGTAACAGTCTGTGAGACAGCGTGGGTTGTAATCTGCCTGAACATGGGAATGAATTTTTATTTGAACCTATACCATGGCTGGAAAAAGAGTAAAGCATTCATACTTCTCCTTTCTTATTTTGTCATGTTGTCCATCAGCTTTGTTTAAGATTGCTTTTTTGAAAAAGATAGGCAGGAAGTGTTGTTACCTGGCTACTGGGGCTTTTGCTGATGAAATTGCTCATATTCAGTAGGTATACCCATCATGGGCAGAATCTGCACAATGTGTTGAAGCATTATCTGGGACTCTCTTTAGCCTCTGAACTCCATGAAATGAAAAAAAAAATCATTCTTGCTCTTTCTGGCTCCTTCAAATTGTTGGGGCATCATGAAAAGTTGGGTTTAATCCTTTGGGGACAAATCTTTATTGTCTGCCTTAAAAGAGAGACTATTGTGCCACATTTTCAAAAAAACTTAGCTGTTTTGAACTTGCCCTGTCCCCAATCTTCCCTTTTATTAAGAAAGCCATTGCTAAACTGATAGGGAGTCTTTACAGAATGCGCTGGAAGACTAGCTGAATAATTTCAGTCTGAATTGAGATCTGGACATAAATTAGCATTGATTGCTCTGGTGGATAACCATTTTCAAGGCCTAGAAGTCATTGAGATACTTCTCCTGGTCCTATTGGGCTTCTCAGCAGCAATAGTTTATACCAGGGGTGTCAAACTCGTGACGACACGTCATCATTTCAACTAGCTGGTCTGTCCTGATTTTAGGGTTAGTTTTAAAATTTTTAAAATTTTAATATTTATTTTAATTGACAAGTTTTAAATTATGAGCCAAATTTATAAATTATCTTAATTTTATTTTAATTGTGATGTTTGTATAGATGTTTTTTATCTGGCTGTTCACCGCCCTGAGTCCGAAAGGAGAAGGGCGGTATAGAAATGCGAATAAATAAATAAATAAATAAATAAATAAATCATGTGACGTATCACAACTTTTTCCCCTTTGCTAAAATGGGGGTGGGCGTGGCTAGCGTGTGACAAATCTGGCCTATAGGCCGCGGGTTTGACACCCCTGGTTTATACCATTGGCCATAGTAGCCTTCTTGGGTTGGAAATGAGGGTAGTTTGTTGCAGTGCCCTATGTGAGCAGTTTAGCTGGGATGATAGAGGAAAAGGAGTCAGCCCAGTGAGCATTAATTTGATGTGCAACAGGAGTCAGTGTTTTCCCTCATGCTGTTTAATATATTTGAAATTGCTGGGAGAAATTATCTGTTAGTATAAGGTATCCGGATGCAGATGATATACAGGTTTATATTCCCACTCCAGACAAGCTGGAGTTGTACAAGTCTTGACATAATTTAGAAGATGTTGAGGACTGGCTGAGGGGAACAAACTTGAGGTTGAACTGTGGAAAAAATGTATTTTTCATTGTTCGGAAGGGCTTTCTGTCAGCTCCACTGATAATACAGAATGAGTTGACACTCCCCAGAAAGAGAGCAGGTATGTAACTAAGATATCCTTCTAGATTCCTAGTTACTGATAGGCAGACAATCATTACTCAGCTTCAGTTAGTGTGACAGTTATGATTTTATTTGGAATAAGTGACCCTGGCCCCATATAGATTGCTTTTCAATAGTCCAACTGAAAGGTGACTAGAACTTGAGTGACCTTCTAACTTAGGAACAGCTACGACTGATACAGCAGGTATAGCTGATCAAAGGCCCTTTTGGCATGGCTATCATCTGTTCCTTCAGCAAGAGAAGTGAGTCCAAGATGACCCATAGATTGTATAGTTTTGAGTGGGAAATGCAACTCCATCTAAGACTAATGATAGAAAGTCCTCAGATGTGGGGGGGGGGGCAGGATGGTGGTAAAAAAATCCACAGCCACTTAATTATGGTAGGATTGAGCCTGAATTTATTTCTCTCCATCCCAATCCATGCAGCTTCTGGATTCTAAGATTGGACATCAACAGTATCACTTGGCTGGCCCAGGGTCAAGATGTACAACTGGGCATCATTTGTATATTGGTGATAGTGGATCCTGAACTGACAGATGGGATTTCCTGTAGATATTAATCAGGAAGAAGAGAGTGTAGAGCCCTGAGGTACTGTGCACTTAAAGGACTAAGTGTACTAGCCATCCCCCTGCCAAACATCAACTGAAAACAGTCACTGAGAAATGGGGAGAACCACTAGAATATAACTGCTCCCAACTTCCAACCCTGCAGCTGATCCATGATTGGTATAAAAGTCATTGTGACATCAAGGAGCACAAAGCTGGACACCCCATCCCCATCCTGACTAACAGAAGTCATCAAGTACTACCAATGCTATCTCCAGTACTGGATCCTGGCCTAACATTTGAGTGAAATGATGATACATTTCCTTTAGGATCCCCTGAAATAGCTGTCCAACCACTTTATCAATTGATTTTCCTAAAAAGGGAAAGTTGGAGATGTGTTGACAATTATTCAAAATCACTAGACCCAAGTATGGCTTCCTGAGGAGACAGTGCACCACCATCTTCTTCAAGGCAGAAGAAACCACCCCATCACTCAATGAAGCTAACACCACTGCATGGAATCAATGATACGTTCTTTGCTGAGCAGGGTTAACAACTCAAGAGGAACCTGACTGAATCTAATAGGTAGATGACCAAACTCACAGTCTGGAAGACTCAGGCTCATCCCAGATAACTTCATAAGACCATGTCTAAGCTCCTCTTAAGAATTAGTCCATCCCTTAGAATAATTGAAAGAAAGAAATTTAAATGGCTCACAGATAACAGTACTTCGAGGTACATAATAATAACTGAGAACTGGAATATAATTACACTTCTATAACCTAACCCCTTTTTCTTGCCTTAAACCTGACTAATGGGATTCTGTGTTGCTTCCTTGGTAAAGCTGTCGTTAGGGACTTGAAAGGGATTACAGTTTTATGATTATGTATTGGTTTTAAATGTTTATTTTTTTATGGATAAAGTCATCAAGAATGGTGTTTAAATATAATAAACAAATGTAAATTCTCTTCTTCCTGATTTTGTCCCCCTTGAAGTGGGAATCACCAATTAACCATGGAAGAACAATATAATTTCATATATTTCTTTGTCAATGAGTTCTCTAAAACCGAATAATTTAGGATTAACATTTTGTAATGTTATTACATTAACATTATAAAATTACAAAAAATGAAAAGTTCCGAAGACTAGGAGTTGTTAATACAGGGAGGAAAGTAGTTCTCATGGAACCAAGCAGCCCTATGGCCCCCTATGTGTCCCTATGCAAAACTGCACACCCAGGTTTCGACCCCTTTGCAGAAGGTGAAGAGATTGATGGCTTTCCTCAGAGACAACAGCAGAGAAGGCCCTCTTCCTTGACCGCGTCAGTCGAAATATGATCTACGAATTATAAACACCTCCCCAAAGATGGACTCTAGCAATTGAATTGTGGACTTCTTGCATGCCTCTATTTTACAGATGTCTGCACAAAGAACTTTAAATCCTCAAAATGTTTTGGTGAGGGGGGATCCTGGTTAATAAGTAATATGATAGTAGAATAAGAAGAGGAAGAAACTTTTCTTAGTTTTATTTGTGAAGTGAAAACATCACTGCTTCTTTGTTGTTTGGGGCCTGTTCAATGCCTCAAGGAGAATTGCTTCCTAGTGAAACCATAGGCAAAGGCTTTGACATGTGAAAGACTTGCTCAAAGTCCATTGGTCAGCAAGGTATTATTTTAATAGGCAACTTTGAGTGCAGTATTTATTTATTCTGGCTTATATGCCGCTCCAGTTGTAATGACTTTACCTGGCTAAAACATAAAGAACTGCATTTCTTGGCAACAGTAGTTACTGTACTCTGGCTGAACTTAAATTCTTAGTAAGATTTTTTTTAAAAAAAACAAACAACCGAGTTATTCTAGGTTTAACATTATAGTCTGCATATAGATAATGTTTAGAAATGCTCAGGCATTCATCATAATGCACAGCTCATAAACCACCGCTGTACCTCTGATCTCTATAGTTATTTTCTGAATACATTGCTATCATACACATCGGTAATCATACAGTTTCGGTTTTTTAGTAAAAAGAGGGAGTTGTCATTTTAAAAATGGTCTCTAGGCAACACAATTATCCTTGTAGAATTTGTATTATCTATGCCTTATGTATTTTTATTCCACTTTTATTATTTTTATAGATAACTCAAGAAGGCAAACATACCTAATATTCCTTCCCCCTCCTATTTTTCCCACAAAAAGTTTGTAAATTGGGTTGGGCTGAGAGAGAGTAACTGGCTGAGAGGAGTAACACAGTTGGCTTTCATGCCTAAGGCAGGACTAGAACTCGCAGAGTTTTTTTGGTTTCTGGTTTGGTGCCTTAACCTGTAGACCAAACTGGCTTTCTCACCTCTCATCTCAGTATCTTACTTTGGATATTGTACGATGAATTGTAGAATTATCTGATTCTTTCCTTGTTTTAACATTTTAGAATTATAAAATTTACTCTATGTATATGAACAAACATA